GCTGCGCAAAACCACGTTCATATTCGCGCGATTTTTTGCGCAGCTCGTCTGTGAACAAAGGCTCTGTGTAGTTAATGCTGCTCAATGTGAAAGCACGCACGTGATGGAGATTTACCGCTGATTACAGAACCGGTTTTCTGACAAGACGCGCGTTAAATATCGCATGCGATTTATCGTGCAGCCCTAATTGAGGTGATGCATATTTACCCCTTCAAATATTCAATTCAACATTGGACAGAGGGATAAAGACATGTAGCTTGACTACAAAAAACCTGCTGTCGCTCAATTATAACTGTATGTGTAAACGTACTTAGAAAAGAGTAAACCCTCTATACCAAAACTAAAATCAGCGTAAAACCTTTCTCAAGATTAAATTAAACCCTCTACACCTGCAAGAAGCACCCAGTAGAGCCACTTTTGCCAATCCTAAGAGCTTCACCAAACCTCAGAATAATAGAAATAACGCACTTCCAGCATTTTGATGGACATGGCCTCCTGACACACACGTATGAATAAGGAACTTATGATTCAGTTCAGATACAGCTTGCAGGCATAATGCAGGGGGATATGCGTTTCCTGGGGTCAACAGTCCTGTGTAAGCCACCCACGTGATTTTTTCACGTGACACGGTGATCAAAGACATGAATCACAACTGCTTTATTCGCATATCCACTCTTCGCAGGCCAATATATCAACACAGAGACACACAGACTAAAGACAAAGCATTGCCTTTACCACCTTTTGTACAGGAGCTCTGTTCCAAACCTGCTTCTCTTCCTACATAGGCAGCATCCTAGCCATCATGAAGCTTCTTAAGTGACTGATTTGGAACACTCTACATAGGCTACAAATGATAACTTTGGAGACAACAGAGACTGACAATATAAAGTTGCTGAGCTAAGACCGTGATATTCTAATAAGGATAAAATTACACAACTCGCACAATACTGATCAACAGCTCTCGTCTCGTCCGGCATCTTGAATTAAATTCGGGGTGCATCTCAATGCATTCTGGGATTGCCTTCTCTGCAAAGGATGTAATCAACAGCTCCTTTGAATTCAGCTAAAACGAGGTGGCATAATTAAAGTCCCTACCTTTTTCAAACGTCTTAACTTCAAAAGCACAGCAATGATGCCTTAAAATGTCTCCGTAGGCAGACCACTAGATAAATAAAAGAGATGGAGTGAACAGGGAGCCATATTGAGGGGGTGAAAGAAGAGAGGAACGAGAGAACACTGTGATAATTTCTATGTACACTCAGGGAAAAGACTCTAGCACCTCAAAAACCTGCCCTACTCAGCACTGTTTCAAACACACGCGAACATGAGCCTTACAGCATATGTCAGGGGTGCCGTGCGTAGGCGAGTGTGATATCCCTGTAATGAAAACAGCTTTCAAGGGACTATGAAGTAAACGGAAATAAACAACACAGAGCAACTGCATGTCCTACAGACCTGAATTAACACATATGCTTGAACTTTGTACACAAAAATAATGATAAATGATGATTTTCTTGTTTTATTTATCAGTTAGCTAGCATTCTAAATGAATGGATATGACTAAACAACAAATCAATTGTTTAAAAAAACAACTTGAGGATCCATACAATGAAAGTCAATCAGGTCAAATCAGAAAGTCAACTAGAACTGTTAGATGCTAGAAAAGGTAATGTTTTTCAAGAATCTTTGATGAATAAAAAAACGATCAAAAGAACAGCATTTATTTAAAACAGGAATCCTCTGTAACATAATAAATGTCACTTTCAATCAATTTAATGCATTCTTGCTGAATAAAAGTATTAATTTCTTTAAAAAATATCACCTTTCAATATTGCCTTCATAGTTGAGAGAGAGCAAATTCGGCACCTTTTTCTCTTCTGACTACTGTAAGATGCATTTTCTTAAATAGTTCACGTTGGCATTTTTTTGTTGTTTAGTTCCAAACCGAAGTGTAAAAGGCCCATTTCACACAATTACAACACTCTCTGCCCGCCCCCCCCCCTTCAAAATCTTCACATAAATCATAATTATTGAATTTTTCAAACCGAAAAGCAATGCAAAAAAGAATTCCTGCAATATTCATCAACAGTATTGCCATTAGATTACCAGAAGGTTACGTAAAAATATGCCTAAGAGGTGATGGAGTCGAGAGAAGCAACGGGTTTGATGACCCCTCTGGGGGGAGAGAAAGGAAGGAGTATAACAATCTTTGAGAGAAGGTATTAAATGAACGTGCCGGATAGGGAGCGAGAGACGATGAGAGTTTGGACAGACTGCTAGAACCTGTATGAGCCAGAACAGACCTCACTTCCTGAATGAAAATAAGTGCTTGTGGCTGTCCATATACACAAAGTGCTCTACACTGTAATCTTGTACTCTTTGTTATTTGCCCCTTGGCTGTTTCTTAATGCTTTTTGGAAGCAGTAGTCCATCTCTTCTCATCTCCTCTCCCTCGTGTTCATCAGGTGGATCGGGCGTTATTACAGCAGGGCTGTTCGGAGACGCTTATTTCCTGTTTCACTACCACAGAGACATCTAAGGATCTCAGGGCTCAAAACACACACTCCTTAACATGGTGTGTGTTTCTCTCAATCTTTTATTGGCTCAGTTGTTCATGAGATTGACCAACTGCTGCTCCCCCTGCTGGTTGAGTGTGTTTAGAGAGAATGTTTGTGTGTGTGTGTGTGTATGTTGTTCTCGTTGATTTGAGTCACACACACACACCATGCCAATGTAGGGTTGAAACCTCCAGCTGATATCTAGAGCTAATTACTACACTCATCGTTTTATCTGCGCTTATTTAATTAAGCCGGAGAGAAATAAACACTCACAGCGCACACACACACACTGCAGGTACAACACAAACAAACACCACTGTCTGGTTCCGTAAATCAACAAAGCAGTGTTTGTTCAAGGCTATTAAAACAAAGGAAATACTGAGTTTGATTAGTTCATATTAATTGAGATACTACAGGCAATATTTTGACTTTTGAAAATTCTTAAACCACAAATTCAAAAAGAAAAAAAAATTCAATTTTTTTTTTTAAATAGATACAAAACAACCATAAAAGTTTTTTAATGGTGGTCAGTAGGACCAGTGTTCAATACTCAAGGTCTTATGAAGTCATACAATAACTTCAAGGCTGGAATACACTGCACAATTTTTAAAACCTGCACAGATTTTAAAACACCAGGCATCATATACTTGTGACTTTGCTAATGGTTGCAGAGAAAAACTGGGCATCATGCAGTAAATGATTGAGGATCACACACTAACAGATTTTTAAAGTCATTCCAAACACAATACACTTCCACAGAAACATCTGAAACATGACAAATGAAAACAATGTGAGCTCAAAATATCAAAATGTTTGATGTCCTCTGCTGGATAAAATAAAAGTCTGAAGCTAAAAAAAATTGTGCCCATTATACACTATGCAATTTTCTATGAAATCTGTCAACTCCGACTGCTTAAAATCTGCAGACCAGGGCCCTCATTTATCAACAGTGCGTAGAAAAGGTTCTATATTTTGTCCTACGAATGAAATTTAGAATGTGCCTAAGTACAAGAAAATCCGTATTTATCAAACGTGCGCACGCAGTTCTTACGCACATGAGTAAGCAATCATTGTTGATAAATCCCACATGTGCGTAAGTACCATGCTCGTTCACGTTCACGGTCATTTGCATTCGGAAACGCCTCCAATGAACCATATATGGTGACAACACCTCCCTTTATAAATCACGTGAATGTATGTGTCCTCACCGAAATCATGGGTAAGAAAGCTGTACTGACTGAGAAGCCGTTCTGTGCTCTCACTCTCAGCGCGGTCTTTGAAAACGTGTTCTCTGCAGAGCGCATTTTTTGCCAAGTTTTCAAATAACGCAAGATAAGCCATTGCACAGTCTGAGACAAACATTTGTCACAGCTGTCCTCTATAGGGTTTGACAGCAGTTACACAACTTGTCTGTTTAAAACTAGACAAATGATAAATGGAATGTTTTATAATTAAAGGAAACACAGGACATATGTGGATTGCTTAATGCATACTGTGACACACTTAAATGCTTTTTATGTGTAGTGTCGCTATTCTACCACTAGATTCTCTGCGCAAGCATGCTCAGAGGTGTGCTTATATTTACACACATTTCTACGCTTAAGTTGGTAGATCCCACACTTTGCGTGAAACTGTTCTTACGCACTCATTACGCACACATCTGTGCGTACGCACTGTTGATAAATGAGAGCCCAGGTCTGAATTTGAACAAATAGCACAGACTCTTCGAGACTGGAAATCGAGACAAAAGCCGTGTAGTGTATTCCAGCCTTTAACGTGATAAACAGGCTGTTATGCACTAATATTCCTCCCCTCCATTCGGCTGTTAACTGTGCTACTGGATCGAGTCAGTGAGTTGAACTTCAGAACCTAATCAGTCTGATTTATGAAAGAATCATTCACACAGTTTTGTGAACTGGATCAAAAGATTCATTGAACAGATTTGATTTAAAAGACTGATTTGGTCAGGAATCGAACATTGCAGAAACATGCAAAGTAAAGTGACTGAGCGAAGCACATTTCAGTCTGTTTCTCAGACAAAGCTATCATATGGCTTTAGAACTCTTGGAATATAGTATATAGAGTCATGTGAACTACTTCAATGATACTTTGATTGTGCTTTTTGTTATTCTTATTCAGTTTCTTTATGTAGCATAAGAATTCCTCCAAAACACAGGACTGGAACAACATTGGAATGAGCAAATGGGTGAACTATCCCTTTAATGCCTGAGAACAAAAACATGGTTGACAAAGGCAAAGAGAGATAGAGAGACCACTCAGAAGAGACAGGGGCTCCACCTGCTGTCTCCATACACAATGAGGCACAGGGTAGAACGTATGATGATACACCGCATCATCATTAACCACCTTAAAAGTTGTGTTCATTTTCATTTTGCAAACAGTAAAGCACAGAGCACATCCCACGTGTGCCACGTGTCCTACCTGAGTCATTGCGTAAGTATGAAGACATGGCAGGGATGAGACAGGACTGGCTGAGCAGTTCCTGCAGGACAGATGGCAACAGTGAGCTGCTGTGACCTCTGACCTCTCCTGAGAGGGTCTCACCAGATCCTATGCAGCCTGATGGGTTGATATAGCTCGCCAAAACCTGTCAGAGACACAGTATGTACCCTCACATATCCAAGCAGGTGTAAAATCTAAATCTCACTTGCATTACTTCCATGCACACACACCTGTAAGAGGCAGGTAACGTGTTCCTCCTCCAGACGTTGTTTGGTCAGAGCCTGCTCGACATCCCAGCCTGACGCAGTGGAGCCTGTCCCAAAGCCTGTTCCTTTGGCCCAGTACAGCTGCTGTTCCTCTGTGGTACCACCGACATGCCCGCTGGAGACCTGCGGCTGCAGCACAAACACAAACTCAACTGTAGGTATCACAGTTGATCTTTTAACCCTTTTTCTCTCATCCTCTCAGGTCATTCATCAAAACAGTCACAATTTAGTAGTACATGAAAACTGAAAGTCTCTGACATCAATAGGTTTGCTCTACTGTACTCTAACATGTTAATGAACTCTGATTGGCTAACATCTTAGCCAATCATTCATCATTCTTCAAGTCTCCTATGCTCACCAAGGCTGCATTTATTTGATCAAAATGTAAGGAAAAATTGTAAAATTGTGATATAATATTACAAATTTAAAACAACAGTTTTCTGTTTTAATATATTTTAAAGCTGAATTTTCAACAGCCATTATTGCAAGCTTCCGTATCACATGATCTTTCAGAAATCATTCCAATATGCTGATTTGATTGATTATTATCAGTGTTGAAAACAGCTGTGCTGCTTAATATTTTTGTGGACATCATTAACATTATAAATGTATTTACTGTCAATTTTGATCAATGTAAAACATCCTTGCTGAATAAAAATATTAATTTCTTTCTTTCAAAAAAAAAAAGAGAGATTGAAAGACAGGACAGGAGGATGCATTTCCAAGTCCTTCTCTTCCACACACACTTTGTCACTCTGGTTTTTGACATTGATTGTTCCAGACGTGACACCCTGCTGAAATTTACTGCTTGCTCTAAAGACTGACAGCATGTCACAACATTATGAGGGGAAACAATGAGGTCAGAAGCTGTGCATCAAATGAATAACAAGCTAGTATCACGGTAAAAAGAAGAGTGGTGCATTTCCTATAATGCAACACTCCAATAACCAGTTGACATTCCATAGTGTGTACTTTACTTTGGATCACATGATATTATTGGAGGTAGCGTGGAGGAAAATAGAGAAATGGTTGCATGCTGGACTCAAACCAGCTTGAGTATCACAAACATTCATTCTTTGACTGTGCAAAGATCTTTAGTGAAAATACTGAAGGAGGGATAAATAGGAGAGTGAAAGAAAGAGCAGAATAAATATGCGTTGACTGCAGTGCTCTTCTTTGGCTGAGAGTGAGCAGGTTTAATATTTGCTCTGCCAATACTTCTGCCGCCCCAAGGACGCCCATTATGATTCTGACAGGCCACTGGCCACTGTTCAAATCCTCAGCCCTGAACCCACTCCTCACCAAACGATAAATTCACACACACACCGCCCTGCACAGAGTATCATTTATACCCTTTTTTTCTCTTAAAAACTGGAATTTAAAAAATTGATTTTAATAAAACCTGTCTGAGGGCTGAATATTGATTTTTATGAAAAAGTCATTTGCTTTAGTATTGGAGGTCTGATGATGATGGTCGTTTTTTTCATTATTTTCTCATTATGATTGCGCTGGAGTTGTCCTTTGTGAAGACACTTTCATTTCAGCCGTGTGAAACTCCTCATAATCACGTAATGACTAAAAGAGCTGTCCAACTCCTCTCTATACCTTCTGTTTTAATAGGATTACAGTACACCTGAGTGAGTGGTTGTTCTCTCCCTCTCTCACACACACACCTCTCCTCATTAAGTCAAGGGCTCTGAATAAAGAGCCCTTCAGCAGTCTGTAAAGAGTGGCTACTACAGTCATCAATAAAATGACATGTCTGAGTCTGAGAAACATCTCCATTAAGGTCTTTACAGGAGTGTCTTTTCCTTCCCCTGCACACACACTCACAAATTATCTGAACACAGCAGTTAAGTACCATTTTTTATCATTATATTTTACCCCGAAGTCCACTTATAATTTTAATCTGAATCACTGAAACTGAGATTGTGAATGAATTATTCACGCCGGTTCTGTGAACTGAATCAATGAAAATATTTAACTCAAAAGAACGATTAATTCACAAATCAGGCATTACTATTTCTCTCGTGAAGTTTAAGAGGAAGATTGTATGCATGAAACTACTTAATTGCTTTCTGTTCCTGACACAAGGAGGAATAAAAGTCATATAGAATTTAAATTTTGGTTGAACCATGCTAAACTCTGTGTACCAGTACAGTTCAGTCAGTCTTTAGTTTGCTGAAAGCTGAAAGCTTTGACATGTAAATATGTGTGGTTACATTCTAATGTTCTAATGGTTGACAAAGATTTTTGTGGACCGAATGGCATATAAAGGGTGTGTGGGTTAACACTGACCTCACTGGAGTTGGCACTGCCGCTGGGCACTCTGGGAGCATGATGACTGAGGGCAGATAGGCAGGCCAGGATGAGGTGGATGGCACCGATCTCAAGAGCCATACGCCTCAACAGCAGCCCGTCATCCGTAGTGAGGGGAGTCGAGCTGAACAAGGACCGGAGCACGTGGAAGGGCAACGTGGGTAGAACGTTAGCAGAGGGAGACTGCAGGATGTGACCTTGAGGAAGATAGATAGATGGAGAGAATGAGAAGTCATTTCTAGATGAGAAAAACCTACCTTCAACAATCAAAATATCATTTTCTCTAGCACTCCATAACAAACTTAACCAGTCTACCAATACATCAAGCAATCAGTTGACCAATCAACAGTCCAGACTGACAGAAATACACAGTTGGCAGTCAATGGAGGCTCAATTAAACCAATCGATGAAGCAACCGCGCAGTAATCCAATCAATGCTTCCCGTAAAGCAAATGCAGAGTTGTGTGTATCTGCCTGTAGGGTGTTTATGTATAACAGCCATTACAGAAGTTTGATTCTCAGCTGAGGGTTTGTGTGGACATGTGAGAGTCTCTCTGAACTAGTATCGGTGGTTATGCTAGGGTTTTAGATGGATCATAGAGTATCAGATCTCCATATATGCAGTAGCTCTATTTAAAACTCTAATGAGCTGCTTCACTGAAATGCCCTTCATGGTTAGCACGCTAGTTAAAGGTCAATCACAAGAACCACACCAAAAGAGTTTCCTCATCTGAGGTGCTGAAGAGACTATGCAAACACTCAAATGGTAGATTCCATTAAAGTCCCATGTTAAAGCTGCAGTCGGTAACTTTTTTTGGTTAAAAATGATCCAAAATCAATATTTGAGCAAATACATAACCAGCCAGTGTTCAAAACTATCGCCTTACTTTAGCCTGTTTCACAACGGTTAGCTTATAATAATGTTTTCTAATTTGAGTGGTACGGGTAGGTTTTTGCGGGAAATTCAAGCATGCCGCTGTGTCATTACGTCACGTCTGTAAACAAAGAAGTTGTCCCGGCTACTAGGCTATCGCATGTGAGGATCCTGCAGGTGGTGGATCGTTTATAACCTTTTCTCACAGCAGCTGGAATAATTAAATTTATCATTTTGATGGCGGATTGTAATCCAGAAAGGATTATGCGTTTATGAAACACATGTGAATGAAATTTAATTATATTCCAGTTTTAAATGTGCTGAATACCGGCACAAGTCTATTTGGGTCATATATTTCAAGACGTAGGCTAGAATCTGTGATTGCGAAGTACAGTAAATATCCACACCGGTGCGGTGACTGACTGCCACACACATACTCCTCAAAATATTACATTCATCCGCGCTGGAGCCGAGCCGGAGCACAACCCACGCAAAGAAGATAATTCCGCAAACAGCTGCAATTGCAGGTTTTTAAACAGAGATGATGACAGAGGCAAAACTTACGGACTGCAGCTTTAACACAGTGTTTCCCACAGACTTACACTATGTGTGGCGGCACTTCCCCTGAGGGAAATACAGGCTATATATAAAACAGCAGATGGGCTTATTGAAAATGCACATTCATTCTCTGCCAGCAGGAGTGGCTTTAGGAGTGGCAGAAATAGCGGTTTCCCCAAGTAACGGCTGTAAACAAAGCAGCGCTCCGCTCATAAACGCTACTTTATCAGTCATTATAGGAAAGATTAAATTAAAATGACATTGAAACTTTTCAAACTTGACAGTCAGTTCCCTTCAAAGATACATTCTTACACACCCGCGCCACGTTTTGAATTTGAAACGTGCAGGGCTCATGTTTATTCAACAAAATCAAAGCATTTAGAAAAAATCTATTTGTGGCGGTCAGTATTGATATTGTGGCGGGCCGCCACAAATAAATCAATGTATGGGAAACACTGTAACATGTTGCTAAGCTAATAAATAATAGCAAACATAGTATGTGAAATTGTTAATTCACATGAATACTTTTCAGTATTGAATAAAATGTTTTTATAAGACATTACTAATTTTCCATTTTGGATGAAAAAGTTTTGCAATGCATTCTGGGATTGCCTTACCGACAAAGCACACATGCAATACTGCCTGATTTGGGCCAAAAGTCACCTAATAAATAATTCTAATAAAGTGTAATTTTGCTACCTACTGTTTGGAATTTTCCCAAAGTGGGCAGCTCAATAAGGTTTAGGACAGGGATGGAATCATCCAAGTGAATGGATATAATACTGTTCAAAAGTTTGAAGTCAATCTTTTTTTTTTTTTTGAAAAAAGAAATTAATACTTTTATTCAGCAAGGATACATTAAACTGATCAAATGTGTCAATTAAGACATTTATAATGTTACAGATGTTTTTTATTTCAAATAAATGCTGTTCTTTTGAACTTTCAATTCATCAAAGCAATCATGGTTTCCACAAAAATATTAAGCAGATTTCAACACTGATAATTATAAGAACTGTTTCTTGAGCACCAAATGAGCATATTAGAATGATTTCTGAAGGATCATGTGACACTGAAGACTGGAGTAATGGCTGCTGAAAATTCAACTTTGCCACCACCACAGGAATAAATATATTTTAAAATATATTCAAATAGAAAACAGTAATTATAAATTGCTATAATATTTAAAAATATTACTGAATTGTATTGTTTTTTTTTTATCAAATAAATAGCCTGTTTAATATGAGAGGTGAGTCTGAAGGGTCTCTTGAGACAGTGACTTAAGCGGATGATGGCGGACACATATGCAGGGGTTGCTGATGAGGTAATCAAAAAACAGTGTTCCACATCAGTCTGCTCTGTTTCAATCAATAATCTCTCTCTCTCACGCACACACGGCTAATGGATATATGAACAACACACAGTGATTAAGAAATAGCCGTCTATTGCCAAAAAACCTGGATTCACTTAATATTAACAAAATTGATTACTAAACTGTAAACAAATTCAGAAGTAGTGCTTCTTGTACTTGAGCGATACTTACTTCCTTCTCCATCATCTGTGACACCCAGCACTAGTCTGAGCAGACACTGCGCGTGCTTCCTCTCTTTCAGTAGAACCTCAGCATATCCTGGCAGCCGCAGAAACAGGCCAAATGCCGCCAGTGAATGGGCAGGGATGGGCGACATGGTCTGAACGGAGGATTTGATGGGCGGAGGCTCGGCTGCGATGGTCTCGGGTGCCTCGTAAACGAGCTCCCCGGACTGCTCTATGGTGACCCACTCAAACTGATCGCTGTCCTTTGGCTTCTCCTGTGTGGTGGATGACACCACTGGGGCACTGACCTGCACAGAACGATCCGGACAAACAGACTCAGAGGGCACGCAAATGAACAGAAATGCTGACATAACCTGAGTTCATAGTCACCGAACAAGCACGTAAGGGCTTATGAAGCAGAAATGGAGTGAAACTACAAAAAATTACCTATGCGGTAGAATTTGATTTTGTACAGAGAGCCAGCTTGCAGATATACTGACCTGCTGGATAACGTCGGGGTACAGCATGGGAAGTCTCTCTGCGATGAGCGCCAAGCCGCCCATTCCTGCAAAAACCTGCAAGGGGGACTGGATAGGGCTGGTCTCCAGGAGGGTGTCATCTACTGCAGCATCCAAACCTTCGTCACCCGGGGTCATTGGCTCATCGTCTGGACAGCCGCTTAGCATCTCACAGTGATCTACAGGAAAAGAGCAGAAAGGAGACGCATCATTCAAGCTATCGTCAATAAAATCTTAATGTCTAGCTGTAAATAAAGTGGTCTCAATTGTTCACATCATAAACCATGATGTCCAACAAGCAGTACTGCACAAGAACTCATATCTGTTCTCATAAATCAGATTATTCCTGTAAATCAGGTTTTTCCTTTACTGAGATTGAAGATCGATGCGAGAGAATGAAGAGAAAGTCACAGGATATATTGTCTGTTAATGTTTGTGAATGTACAGTCAGAATAGAAATGAAAAAAGCACTCAAACCCAAACCTGCTTTACAGAGTTTACAGCCGATGTCTCAATTTAAGAAAATTTAATTTCTTTATAGAGACCTAAATACAGCTGACAATAAAACGGAAATAGTCGAATGCATAAAAACTCCTGTTACCATTCTTAGTAAACATCAAATGCTACATAATTCTTTAAAAAGCTTTGGGGAATTTTTTTAAAATGAATTAATAATTTTTATTCTTGAGCACTGAATCATCATATTAAAATAATTAATGAAGGGTCATGTGACACTGAAGACCGAAGCAATGGCTGCTGAAAATTCAACTTTACCATCACAGGAATAAATTACTATTTTTAAATTGATTTATTAAAATACAGAACAGTTCTCTTAAACTAATGTTTCACAATAATATTGTTTTACTGCATTTATTATCAAATAAATGCAGCCTTGGTGACCATAAGAGGCTTCTTTCAAAAACATTAAAAAAATGTATAGTGCATATTGATATATTGTGATTCTTTTTTTCAACAATATTGCATCAAAACTTTAGGTCACTGTATCAATATTCTTGTGTACATTTATATAATTCCATACAGTTAGATTTATAAAGAAGTAGGTAGTGTAAATAAGCATTTCTCTGTGAGGTCACAGTCACTTGAGAACCACACAAGACGGGTCAACTCGCTGAGTCACTGTCCACCAACTATTAGTCAAGATTTATTAGCTTATCTAGTTGTAGGCTTCCCAAACTTTTTGACCAATGACTTTTCCATGACCTTTCCAATCATGCAGGATTACTGGATAATTTTAAAAAATGACTTGCTAATAAATCAATGGAATGATTTACTGGATTCATTGAAAAGCACTGCCTCAGAAGAGAATTCACTCAGAAACCAGTGATCACTATGACCTTTGAACAAGTTTAACTTTATCTGAGACCAATTTCTAGCCTATGAACCTAAAAAAAAAATTGTACATCCACTATAGTAAAATGTATTACTTTCTATGATTTTTCAGCCCTGAAAAAAAAAATCTTTCAAATTTAAGTATCGTTTTAGCTGTATTTGCAGAGGTGGTGCTTTCCAGAGGATTAATTTAGAGATGCAGCTTCCTAGAGAGGATGTTAATCTGCTCAGTCCTGTCTCTATGAAGGCCAACAACAGAGTAAGTGTGAGACTGAGAAAGAACAAGTATTTACAGACTACTCATGGATTTAAGCTCTGGGGACAGTAAAAGCCTTTTTTATTATTTTAAACTGTTGTTATTTCAGTTGGTTGGTTCTGAATCAAGAGATCTTTGTGTCTTTGATGTTGAGATCAGTGCAAGGAAACAGCAGACGGAAGCCAAAAACTCTTGCTGGAGAGATGAACAAAGAAGCTGTGAAATACCCTAACACCACAATCGCTATAGGGAAGTCAGTAGGACGTATTTGATCTTAGTTTCGTAACACCTGAAAGTCTCAGAAAACCTACTTTTTCGCAAGTCTGGTGTCTGTGTCCAGGAACAAGCTCATTGCCAACAGGTTGATGGCACATCCCAGTAACAAGCGGCAATGGTTCAGAACACCGCCTGTGGTTGGAGTGTCTTCTATACACTTCCTCCACAGAGAGATGGACGGACTCCAGGCAGAGAGGAGAGAATTATCTCTGGGCTGGTGAGCATCCTTTCAGCTCCTCGAAACGAGGGGTGCGAGATGAAAGTGTGTGGAAAGAAGCAGAGTTTGGTACTCCAACAGTGATTTAACTCTGCTAAGACGGCCAATTAGCCGGAGGGTGGGGCGAGTCCCCCAGGCACCATCACTAAACTGTAAACTTCTGATGTCAGACTCTACGGGTGCCATCAAACGCAGGTTGCTCCAAGACTCCTTCCTGAGCCAAACAAACAAACGAACGCTGTGTGCTCGGAAAAGCCAGTGGAGCGAAGTAAACAAATAGTGCCAGATCTCCACCTCCAGATGAAAATTCAACAGTTTGAGAGCTCACAGTTCAGTCCTGTATAACACCCTGACACAGTGTCTCGACAAGGCACAATGTGGCAACTTTTCAGTGTTAAATCACTTTTTTGTACTCACTAAAAGCAAACTGCTACACTGTCTCTACACCAGATCCAAATGTTGCAACAGGATTTTTTAAGCTAAAATTTAAGACTTTAAGACCTTTTTTAAGACCTGCAGAAATAAAATTAATACCATATGAGCGGGGTAGGGCAATGTCTATAGTAACATATTAAACTGTAAAATGACTGTAAAAAGCTTGATTTACAGTTCAGATACAAGTTTTATGTAAACATAAAACCATGTCTGCATTTGTGATCGGAGAAACAACAGAAGTTGTCAGATTCATCACTTGATGTTTTGTCGTGCCTGATTAGGACACTGGCAAAATACTTTCTCGTCACAGGTGACATCCAGAGCTCTGTCTGTGCTAGCAGATTCACCTGAGCTGACATCAGCTTTAACAGGAACTCTGTATATGTGTGCATGAACATTCGCTCATTCCAACAAGGCAGAATCAATCAAGAGTATTGGCAATCCAGTGGGGATGCAGCTGTCAATGTCAGGACGGCGGCTGCTTTTTTGTATCCCTCAGAAAGCATGGACACATCACTGACAGAGCAAAGCAAAGTCATCTGACGGTGCAGGACACTAGGGGGAAATACGGTGAGCACATGCGCATACGCAAGCACAAACACACAAGGCCAATCAGGTTATTTTTCCCTAGGCTGGCAGAAAACGTGATATGTGGGAGAGGGAAGCTAAAAACTACAGAAAAATCTTGGGTGGGAACATAGACTGAGTATCGCAGAACAATGGCAAGAAATCACTTTCTACTGAGTTTCTAAGGAATGACTCTTATGAGCCGGTTCTTTTTAGTGCATCAAAAACACACAGTGTGACCAATGTATTCTGATTCCCCAAAAAATGAAGAGAGGTGTCTCAATATAGTGATGGTCCAGGCATGACCGATTGCAGAAGTACCAATGACACCATGTCTGCCAATCACGACAGACCAATCGCTACAGCGATCAGGGCATCCCGCCTCCCTGTATATAAACTGCAGCTACCTGCCATTTCATCATTCTCTGCATATCTCTATTGCGTATGGAACAAGCAAGAGGGCAATATTGTGAGATACCTCACTTCATGCTATCAGAGAACCGGGGTTCCTTTAGTAACCTAAATTTCTCTTTCGAACATTCGTTCGGTATCTCACTGTGGGATATAGACAACTCCCGTATTGCCGATATAGTGACGAATCAGACTAAAGATGAATATGATCGGAATTAAACCTCTTCGACCCAACTCAAGTGGTTAAAGCAGATCAGTATAGTCTGAAAATTGACACTATAAATGAACTGGATTACATAAGTGTTTAATGTACAATTTGTCAATTCCCAGGACCGAATGGGCAAGTGAAGGGTTTGTCACGTCCAGTCTATAGAACCTCACAAAAGTGTGCAAGGAAGACCAACTAGCCACAGCACAAATTTTCTGGATAGAAATGCCCTTAAATAGTGCCCAAGACAGCTATACCTCTGGTAGAGTGAGCTCGTAACTTCTTTGGGGGCTCTGTATTTGCGTTATTGTAACATAACACAGTTGCCTCTTTGATGGGAGACAGGCTTTCCCTTAAAAGAGTAGGCAAACGAAACAAAAAGCTGATTGCTTTTTGAAGTGCCCTGGTTCTTTGTACACACATTTGTAGAGTCCGTACCAGACATAAACAGTGTAGCCGCTCCTCCTCTGGACATGAAAAAGGTGGCTCATGGAAAGCCATCAAATCCACGGATTGACATGAACCAGCATGATCGAATACTTCAGGCATAAACACCAGGTTAGTTCTAAAAGTTTCTTTTTGACCACCCGGAGCGAGCATCATACATGAGGAGTGAACTGAAAAAGAAATGCCGTTCACTTACCCTTTTCGCTGTAGTAAGAGCGAGTAACAGAGCAGTCTTTAAAGAAAGCAGCTTTAAGGAGATGCTCTCAACGGGCTCGAACGGGGCTTTTGAGAGCACATTCAGGACCACGGACAAATCCCAGGGCGGGACCAGTGGTTTTGATAATAGGTGTAACATAAATAGGTGTCTGCATACCTTTCTCAGTACGGAGTCTTTTGAAGGAATCAGTCTTGGAGAGGCCAGGGTCTGAGATGACCTTTGACCCCAGTTTGACCGTCAGGTCAATGGAGCGGTATCCCTGAGGAAGTTTGCGCTCATACAGCAGTGTCAGCAGCTGGGCCAAGGTCATCTCCGGCGGCAATGGCTGACCTGGAGAGAAAAGGTTTTGAGTCATTATTGAGTTTATTAAAGCATTTTCAACTGATTAATCACTTTTTTGAATAAGATGATGTTCCATTTTTTCAACCAAATGGCAGGTGAGCGAAACAGAAACCTGTTTGCAAACATTTAACAAAAAAATAATTAAATTCCATGTGGTGCCACTAGTGAAGCAGGAATTAAACACTTCACCTCTTAAGTACTGAAAGACTCTTTACATGTAAGAGGCAACAAGAGATGAGAGAACAAAGAACAAAGCTTTAAAATTGACATTCATCAGACTCTCTGCATCTCTGAATAAATGCAGTGAGGTGACGTGGCAGGCAGACAGGGACAGGCACTGAGGTGACCTCTACTCTCATCCTAATCTGTATGGAGGAGCGAAGGGTGAGAGATGAGGGGGGAACGCAGAAGAGTACAGAGTGGGCGAGAAGACCGGACATAAAGTGAGCGCGTGACAGAACAAGAGTGTGTGTTTGTACCCGGCAGTAGTTTGTGACAGAGGTGGAAGACAGGCACGCTGATGGTTTTGGCAGACGGATCAACTCCTGAGGAAGCTGCCAGCTTGTCACTGAGGACACGCCCTCGTCGGGATGGGGGACGGGGAGGAGTGGACAAGGCCCTCTTTGACTGAGACTTCAGACCTGAAACAAAGCATGAAAACAAGATGCAACATGGGTAAACTAGATCAAACTAGATCAAATGATCTCAGTGTTAGTTTGAGTTAATTGCATAGATTGTTAACCTCAAGGGAATATAATATAAAACTCTTCTCACTATGTCAGTGAGAAGATGGGGTTAAACAGTACCTGAGGCAACAACAACACTGTAGTTATCTTGGAAACCATTATCGGCCTTCATCTTTTCTTTTTCCTCATGGTTTTTCTTCTCTTTATCCTCCTTCTGTTCATTGATCAGTTTTGCCGTGATGCTGGGCGTGTCTGAAGGGCAAAAAAAGCAAGATCTTTAAATGTTATTTCACAGTGTGTATGTGCATTCTTCAATCAGCCTGCGGGCTCTAAAAATTCATTTCCCTTTAGAGACATATGCATCGATGTATATGTCAGCTTAACTGATAATCTGAATTATTTATGGTAAAGATGTAATATGCCTGAGAAGACACACCAATTCATAAAGATAACAACATGCTGTGCTTCCTGTGAGGGTCTTCCATCAGTGGAAGTGATGTGAGCATGAATGGCTCCGAGACAGGACACCATACATATATATAGTCTCGCTGTTTTCTGAGAAAACGAAGCCTATATTTGCCACGCTCAAGGTCTCTGGAGACAAGCCATTTATCACACATACATGCTGATGGCCATGCCACACGGCAGATCTAGCCCTACATGCTTTGTTCATCAGACCATGAAAGTCTGAAGATGTGGCAAAAGCTGGACCTGATTCATCTGATAGACTACCACACGGTGCATGTAAAACGAGACTGTTGGTTGACTGCTGGAAATGCTATTTCTAGTATTTTGACTAAACTGGTGGAAGCTGGTGTAACTATACACAATCACGCATCTGTTTTTGTAGGCAACTTTGTAGAGTGGCACAGAAACAACATTTTGAAACCAATACTAATGAAATTAGCACAATTACTTGTACCAATTTAGCAGAATAGATATGCTACTTGACTCACTAGTCATGTAGCCTTCAATTATTATTATTTTTTCAATAAGTAAACATCTGTATTCCATTATGTAGCTGCAATAAACATTTACTAAATAAGATTAAAGAAACAAATCAAGAGCAATAAGATTTTTTCTTGTCAACATACCATTCCAAAGTAAGATTTTTAAATATATTTGAAAGACGTAGAAAGATGCTCACCAAGCCTGCATTTATTCGGTCAAAAATTTAGTAAAAACAGTATATGGTGCTGATTTCGTGCTCAAGAAACATTTCTTATTACTATCAATGTTGAAAACCACGATACTGTTTTTCAGGATTCTTTGATGAACAGCATTATTTGAAACCGGAATCTTACAATATAAATGTCTTTACTGACATTTCTGATTAACTTATTGCCTCTTCACTGAATAAAAGTATCAATTTCTTCAAAAAAAACAATTGAATCTTACCAACCACAAACTCTAGAGTGGTAGTGTATTACAATGTCTTCATACCTGAGACACGGTCCAATACTTCAGACAGTGTGGTTGAGATGGGCAGATGCAGTTTGCGGAACTTGTGCCCTGCGCCGTACATGGGGTGCTGGATCACATGACTGGTGGCATTAATGCGCCCTTTATACAGCTAAAGCACAGAAAGAGAAAAACACAAAAACAGATGATCTTGAGATGTTAGATCTTCAATTTCTCATTAAAATGCACCTACAGAATTCTTTTGCATTCATTTCTTAGCTTCATTTAATTTTCAGTTCTAATCACTTATCTTATTGCTCAAAAACTATTGCAATTTATGTCCCTTCTGCAACCAACCTTGTGAGAGTAATCTCTATTTCTCTTCATTGTGAACAAAGAATCCATATTTTCTTTTTTCTTACTACTCTGTATTTTTAAGAGATTTAAAATGGTCTTAAATGTCATTTGACTGTTTAGCGATAACGATCATGATATCAGTTTTTTTAAACACTATAGCTATAGGGAAAAGCAAACAAGAAATTTGAAAGCAATGGCATTTGGCAAGTCCTGCTGAGAAAAAAAAATCAATATATAAAAATTATGTATCTCTGAAGATTCCCACTTTCCACATGGCCGATCTAGACATCTTAATTTCTGTTGAAGGTGGAGTTAAAGGTGCATCGGAAAGGGAAAAATGACGTCCATGCCTTTGAGAGAACGCCTCGTATCGTACACCACTCTGGCCTGATCTAATGTGTAAACATTAACTTTTAAGAGCCTCTCTGTTGGGACTCTCTGTGAAAGCCAGATGATTAATCTGACCTAAAACGCACACAGTCCTGCCATAATTTACTGGAGGAACGACCTGCTGAATGACTCTCCGGCTAAAAAAAGATGTCTTTACGATTTGGCTTCGTTCCGGTTTGGCAGTCGGAGGAGAGGCATAACTCTATGCGTCATATAAGGGGTGAGCCGGTTATGTCCTCCAACATTTAGATTATGTGAAATGTGTAATTGCTGTGCCACTAGCGGCACCGGACAGAAACGCAAGAACGATTTTCCCAAACTTCTCGTAGTTTTCCACTAAACTAGCTATTTTCTCCAGCTAAATAACTTTGTACAGGTACTCCTAACATGCACCAATGTGTGTGGACTCCTGCATGATTAACAAGGATTTGAGGATAAATCTGCCCCCTAGTGGTCTCCTACAATAACAGCACAATTTGCCATGAAAAGAACTGCAGCTCAGAGGCAGTGCAGGTTTAAATCCCTCTGAGATGATGTAAAGGTCAGGGTAATTTTCCTTGTAAGTGAAGAGGCTTTCCTGAGCTTTACAGCAACAGTAATAAATAATTTAACAGACTAACCAAGCAAAACAACTTCTATATAAAATAAAATAACCACTTAGAACAGCAATGTTTCAGCTTTAGATAGATTTTCAAAGCATCTGTTGTGAGTTTTTGCGTGTGTCTGTGATCACCTACCGGACAGGGAGACTGAAGGAAGACAGTAACTTTCTCGTCTTCAAGCATGAGTTGTAGGAAGAGCCGACGTATAAATCCAGAGATGTTCCCTGAGACCGGAACGTTCCCTCGCTGAGGAGCTGACTGAAACAGCTCACACAGCACCTTTACAAAACAAAGAAAAATACAGATCACTTGTATCACTGTTATATATCGCCATAACACTCAGCCCTAAAACTTGCTCTATAGTAATGCACTAAGGTATTATAGACATAACAGTTTGACTTTCTGTAAAGCTGCTCTGAACAATATGAAAAGCATTATACACAAATTTGACTTGACTACGTACTTAATACAGAAATTATACTATTATTTAATACATATAATATGAATATATATTTCTTGACACTAATCTTGGAATCATCAGTTTTGGTTTAAAATATATTAAATTAGCTAACAAACTACTTTAACTTTTTTGAGAAGAAAATGTTTATATATTTAATTTAGAATAGCTGAAATAATTTATAGTACAGAAATCATAACATTTTTATTTTAAAGTTATAAAATTTTTATTATTTTCTGTATTTTAGTTAAAACTTAAAAGTATAATATTTATAACAATAAATAGCAATATAAGGTAATATTAATATAATTAAAACGTTATGACCTAAAGAATATTTTATCAAGGTAGAAGGCTAGAAGGTATAATTCCACATATTTTAAAAAAATTACATATAATTTTTTTTTTATTTACACTTAGTTTATTGTTTATGAAAAACATCAAACGAGACTCAAAAAAGCACCACAAACACACCTGTGCCATGAGCCTCTGGTTGTTTGGATGGCAGGAGATGCTTTGCAGGAAGAAAGCCACTGTTGCATTCTCAATGGCTGTCCTTTGCTGAGTGGTGAGTCCACTGCTGCGGCTCGTTGATGCCAGTGAATAAGACGCCCCTGAGGTGTGAGGTGCGGCGCTGGCGTGTGACGTGCTGGGTGATGCACCGTGCCCAGAAATACTGCTGCTGCTATTGTTTGCATTGGCATTAGCAGCCCCACTGGCACTAGAGTGGCACAGGAGAAACAACAGTGCCGTCCAGAGTGGGTTCACTTCTGGCCCACCCAACCAGTCCTTCATGGTGTGACTGTTTCCTACTTCTGTTAGAAACCGCAATACGGGCGCTGCCAGCTCAGGAGACAGTGGTGGCCTGTTTGTCGAGGATGATGAGGGTTGGTTGTGCGAGTACGGGCGTCTCTCTGCCTGTGTGGAGAATCCTGCAGGCAAGGGAAGGTCTGCACTTACCAACAGGTTGCAGCAAAGGTCGGCTAAGCTGCGAACAAGCAGAGAAGGCAGACCAGAGTCCAACAGCTGCTGGATGGCACCTGGAGACTGGGATGCAGCTGCTAGGGTCACCAACTGGCACTCTGAGAGGGTGACGGGCACAGTTACTGGTGCCCGAGCATGTTTAGAGTCATCTGTGAGGGAGGCGGCACTGTTTAAGTCATGCTGCTTCTTGCCGTCGTCCGTCATGTCCATTCGGCGCTGTGCATTGGTCTGGGCAGCAGGGGGTGCCACTATACCCATCCAGGACATGAGCAAAGAAAAGTAACTAGGGTGGATATGGCACATGGAACAAAGCAAGCTGTCCACAGCCTTCTTTAAAACCATGTTAGAGGGCAAAGACATGGACCAGTTGTACAACAACCTGCAAGAGACACCGTGTCCAGAAATACTGCTGCTGCTATTGTTTGCATTGGCATTAGCAGCCCCACTGGCACTAGAGTGGCACAGGAGAAACAACAGTGCCGTCCAGAGTGGGTTCACTTCTGGCCCACCCAACCAGTCCTTCATGGTGTGACTGTTTCCTACTTCTGTTAGAAACCGCAATACGGGCGCTGCCAGCTCAGGAGACAGTGGTGGCCTGTTTGTCGAGGATGATGAGGGTTGGTTGTGCGAGTACGGGCGTCTCTCTGCCTGTGTGGAGAATCCTGCAGGCAAGGGAAGGTCTGCACTTACCAACAGGTTGCAGCAAAGGTCGGCTAAGCTGCGAACAAGCAGAGAAGGCAGACCAGAGTCCAACAGCTGCTGGATGGCACCTGGAGACTGGGATGCAGCTGCTAGGGTCACCAACTGGCACTCTGAGAGGGTGACGGGCACAGTTACTGGTGCCCGAGCATGTTTAGAGTCATCTGTGAGGGAGGCGGCACTGTTTAAGTCATGCTGCTTCTTGCCGTCGTCCGTCATGTCCATTCGGCGCTGTGCATTGGTCTGGGCAGCAGGGGGTGCCACTATACCCATCCAGGACATGAGCAAAGAAAAGTAACTAGGGTGGATATGGCACATGGAACAAAGCAAGCTGTCCACAGCCTTCTTTAAAACCATGTTAGAGGGCAAAGACATGGACCAGTTGTACAACAACCTGCAAGAGATGGAGAAAAAGTTTAATTATAATTAATTAATTAATAGTTCAGGTTGCCTAAAAACAGCATCATGATTTACTAGTGCTCCAAGCTGTTTGTGTTAAAGGCTGAAGCAGTTTTATTTGCACCCTGTACACAGCGAAGATTGTTTCACTTTGTTCTACTCGGTATGCATAAAGTATTCATACCTGAAGAGAGAATAAAATATAGAAGAGTGTGGGAAAGGAAAAGCAGAATATGTACTCTCAGCCTTTCCCAGTGCAGAGCACCAAAATATATCTCGTACACACACTCCTCCAAAACTCTTGCTTGAACATTTTGTATTGCAAGACTGCAAAAAGATTTATTTTATCAGTGCGGACTCACTCGAAAAGCTCTCCGTTGAGCAATCCGGGCAAGTCGTAGTCAACGGGCAGCTCATAACTATGCCATAAGACGGAGGCCACGCAGTGCAGATGTGACGGGGATGGCATTAGCAACCCGTATTCCCGTGAGGGCGGAGCGCTCGGACCCACACAGCTCGACAGAGAACTCTGCTTCAGGGCAGCAACCCGGGACGAGTCGTACACCCACTGTAGCAGAGCCTGGATCCTACAACACAATCACAAACATAACCCAAGACATCAAGAACCACAAAAAAGTGTGTATGAACCTGTACGGGTGTAACAGTATAACAAGATATACAGAGTGGCTTCTAAAAGACTTCAATACTTGAAATTCATTTGATGTGTATCCAAAAAAGGATTTTGGGGAATTTATTATTGGAATTTATTGGAAAGAAATTTATTGTTGACTTGAAATCGTGTCACATGTGTATTGAAGCAAGCGCTAGATCCTCCTTTTTCTCTTTTTTTAGAGCTGTAAAACTTCAAGCAGCACTGTGGTTCTAATGATCTGTTAAAGAACGGGCCCGTCGATGTGGGGGTGTGGCCTGCAGCAGCACTTCCGCTGGCTGTGCTGTGGGACTGCTAGAGGTGATGGTGCCTGCAAGGGAACAACATCAACGTTGAACATAAATACATTTTAATACTTAAACAGACGTTTATATGAAAAGACGGGGTTATGACTCAAAATAAAACATGCTTGCTGTACCAAGAGGGGCGAAGTTGTGCAGTCCTTCTGCATTGTCTGGTTCTGAGGTAAGCACTCGTGCTTTCAGGCTGCCATCTGCTGCTTTACCAGGCCCAGAGTCCAGGAACTTCATGATAGTGGACACCATACTGCGTGCTGTGTTCACGATGGCTCGTGTGCTGGTGACCATGTTGTTACAGATGAGCTGCACACCACCTAAATGCACACACACACAAAGAGTCAGAACATACAGACCAGCTCAAACAGTTTTATCTCTTTAGAAAGTGTTAGTGTTGGCATACCCATGTCATGGAAGGCTTTCAAAGCCTCGCTGGTGTCAAGCACTCTCAAAATAAACCACAGTAAAGGCTCAGAGCTTTACATTAATTTTATTAATAAACAAAAAGTAGTACCGATTATCATGGCCATGGCACTGCTGTTGCACTGCCCCAATGCCGACAAGATCTGACTCATAATCTGCTGATTGGCCAAAACCAGGTCTGCCACACCCGCAGCTGGTCCCTGGTGCTGAGCTGTGCCTGCCGCCCCACACTCTTTGCTTCCACACACTTTTTCTTCATCTGACACGCTGTCAGTGGCTCCACCCGCTGGAGGCAGCCTCCCACTGAATTCCCGATCACCTGACAGCGGCAGCATCACCAAAGTATTGACCAGCTTCAGGAGGTCAAACATCAGCTGGTCTCGTGTGGTTTCGCCACACACAGCCTTCGCATCGCCGGGGCGAATGATATTGGCGAACAGGCCCCCGAAACAGGCACGAGCACCCACAGAACTGTCCAAACCGCTGCGTGAGACCAGCTTATCTGAGCAAGTGATGTAGTGGTGAACCAGAAAGGTGACGGATTCAATGACAGCCAAGATGGTGGTCACAGAAACCACTTCAAAGTTTTGTTCCAGGGTGAACTCCAAAAGCTTCACCTGTGCATCTAATGGACCCTGACCAGACTGGAATGGACCCCTATAAGCAGATAAGATTATAAAAAAGACAACAACCACAAATGATTAACAAGCATCAGTTTAATTACATAAATGGTGAATTAATGATCTACCTCTCCGTTGACAGGATGTGCAACAGTTTAAGCAGGAATTCGCTGAACATCTGTGGACATGTGGAGGACAGGTGCACCTGCAACCTGGTTAAAAATTCCTGCAAGGCTTGTGTTGCAGTGGGGCCGACCTGGAAAGAGAGAGGAAGACAAGTATGTGAGGCATTTACCAAATATATCATTATGAAACAAATCATGCGCGTACTCTTCATAAAGCTCAATACCTGTGAGCTGTGTTGGCTGGTGCCATGAGGGTTCCCTCCAGATAGGAAGCGCACAAGCACGTGCACAAGTGTGGGGTCAGACACCATCTGCTGGGCTGTGCTCTCCTGCACACCCATCCCACTGCTTGAGGCTGCAGATGCAACACACACATTATAACCGAGGTTAATCCGAAAGTGTGTCACCAGACTGTTTGCTTTTATAATCAGGTTGTGGAGGGGCAACACAACACGGATCTGCTAAGCTGGCGGGAAAACCCACATATAGGTCTCCCCGTGGGAGCACCCACACATCTGAGTGCATCCAGAAACACACCAGATGAACAAAGACAGGCTGGGCCAATCAGATACTCACCACTAGCAGGCATATTAGTCATGAGGGTGAGACTGTGCAGTACAAGACACCATGTTTTCAGAGAGGTGTTGGGGTACCAGGCCAGCACTGACAGGAAACTGCTGATGGAGGCTGAGAGACAAGAATTACAGTCAATTATAAGCATTACAAAATCCACACTGAAGTTAATGAGGGAAAGTGAACGATCTAACCCGCTCCTGTGTTTCTTTTGCTGATTATTACCATTGCTTTCCTTATTTTTTTAATGCATTTATTTTTAAACATTTTTAATCTTTAAAGTTTCTTTTTAAAATATTAATCTTTTTCCATTGCATATCGCGTTTTAAAATTTTTCTCAATTCATTTACTATTTTTGTTGCTGCACTACTTTCTTTGTGCGCAGCTAATCAGAATATTTGCAATGCGCCAAATACTGCTTCACTTCAGTAGACATGTTTACATGCACTAATTTTTATCAATCATAATAAATCTAATCTGATTTCGGATTTTGAAAGTTCTGTTAATATGAATCCTAAACGCTGTAATCCTATTCACATATTCGTTTACAAGTGCATTATATATGTTCCAAACAAACTTCAGGTTTGGAAGTAAACATACTCATGTTCATATGATGCAAAATGTATCTAAACATTTTACATATGTGCAAGGTATTTTTGAATTTGAGCGCTTTTCAGTCCAATTCTTTTGGTGTAGGTAAACGTAGGTAGTGAGACTGACACTTATTAAAGTGTGAAAATTATTTCAGCAGGTTACTAGCTGTATCCTTGGTCATAGTAACACATAAAACCAACTGTTAAATTTGAGATCCTGTAGAAATCAACAGTCCAATCTCCTCAACAATACAATACCTTCAGATCAAAGTGTTCTATCAGTTGGTGAATGTCACACCTTGGTTAAGGGGGATTGTGGGCACTCTGCTGGCATTAAAGAGGAAGATGTCTGAGCCGCTCTCCTCAGAGCAGGAACTCAAACTCAGAGTCAACCACAGCTGCAGCAAAGACTCCAACTAGACAGACAGAGATAAAGATGGTGTGATTCTGTAACTTCTCGGAGTAAAAAATAATTCAGGAATTGAGATTTAAAGGGATATTTCATCCAAAAATTAAAATTAGCCCATTATTTACTCACCCTCAAGCCATCCTAGGTGTATATGACTTCCTTCTTTCAGATGAATCCAATCGGAGTTATATAAAAAATTGTCTTTGATCTTCCAAGCTGTTTAATGGCAGTCAGCAGGTGTTGCAGTGCTTCAGTCCAAAAAAAAAGTGAAATAAAGCACATCCATCCATAATAAAAAGTGCCTCACACGGCTCCGGGGGGTGAACAAAGGCCTCCTGTAGCGAATCGATGCGTTTTTGTAAGAAAAATAACCATATTTAAAACGT